ATCATAGCATATTCACACAATATATTCACTTACTCTCAAGTAGCCCTGTTTCATACCAGGATTTCAAGCAGAGGCTTACACGGACTTTCTTCTCATCCAACCGGTTGCGTAATTAGAGTACTGAAAAAGTCATTGACTTTTTGGAGCCAAGCCTCAATTCGATCGTCTTTCTCTTCACCGAACAGATGATGTGCAACACCAAGTTTGATTATATTATTCCTAATTGAGCTTATTTCTACTGGAAGTTTGAATTGAAAAATCATGCGTAATGTTGCATGAAAAGATCTACCAGTGACATCATAGATATTGCCATATTTGTATGTCACCTCTTTCAAATCAATGTTATCAATTATGCATACATTCCAAATATAGGGGCTATTATCCAGTCACTCAATGGGATTCGCTGCTTGTATTCGCTTTCTCCACAATCAGCGTTCATGATGGTCTGTATGTGTAATAGCGTTGACCAATTCCAGAAAAGACCGCAGGGATGACAATAATTTCAGTTTTTGGCATACAGAGGCCAAGGTGTGGACAGAAAAGATCTTCAAATTTTTAAATGTGGTCATCAAAATTATTGATGACAAGAAGACAGTCATCCTCGAAATTTTATTTGATATTTTCAGGGAAGCATCAATTGTTGCTGATTTGTTTTTCTGATCCCTAACTTCCAACCGTTTCTTAAAGAGAGTTGATATAAGTCCAAGAAAAAAACTGGTGAGTATTCGTGGAAATGCAGCCTGGTAGTCGTATAGTGTGCTGGGTTTCTCCAAAGTCTCACTGTTTTTATTTACTTTCTCACGTAATTTCCATATATGTTCAGCAATATTTTCACCAGATTTGCAAGATATTCCTGCATTTAGTCTGGTCAGCAAACTTTTCAGGAACATTCCATTGGCCTTTAAGATTCATTTGATCATAAATGGACTTACACTCAGTAGCTCTGTTTCTGTTGTTTCTGGTTCTTGGAAAACTTTTAGCATTGGTGCCGCAAGTTTTGCAAGTCTATCATTGAATGAATCATCTTCTGTCTCAGCTACACTAGCATCCACTCCCCAAGAAGTTTGACAGTTTTTCTTGAATTTGCAGCATGTTTATATGGTGTGCATGTAGTATCATTCTGAGCCATAGATTCTGTATCATGCAAATGTCCTCCTTCAGATACATAGCAGGCACAACAGACATATTAATATTGCATTTGCTTTTCACTATTTGTTGATTGAATAAGCAATGGAAAAGCCTTAATATTGCAACAGTTGAATTGACCAATGCATGGGATTTGCATTGTCTTTCCTCCAATTGACCAACAATGACCGTTGTCACACCCATAGGCTTGACAGAATATGCGAAAATATTTCATGCATAAAGTGCAACAAAAGTGTCTAATGGTGCTTTCTGTATAGTGTTTGTTTGTTTAAGTCCCCTAGAATGCAATTTATTTTGATCATAGTGGAAATGTGTAGTGCATACTCCTAATTCATTCACTTGCTCTTTCGTTTGATTGACAGTTTCTGTATCAACTTCCCATACGCCTATGAGATTCCAGAGTGCCTTTATACTTGTGTTTCTGCAGCATTGTATGGTGCCATTACGATTTATCATGACAATGCACTCAGTTAGTTGATCTTTTGGCACTTCATTTGTTGTTGTTGTTGTTAAAGGTATGTCTTCCTTGCAATTGCATTCATCATATTCCTCATCAACTTCATCATTTTCTTCATCGTCATCCTCTTCAGAAATATAAAATATATCTTCAAACAAATTATCATCATCCAAAATATTCATAATGAGCTCTCCTGAATCTCCAATCATTTGATGCGACATGTTAAAATTTTTGTTTTACGAATTGGGTTTATAAAATGTATTTGTTACAGCAGGGCAGTTATGAGTGTTTCTGTGAGATAAGTCAGTCTTCTGAATGTTTGTTGAGTTTGTGGGTTGAAGCTCAGTTTTTGTTCAATTTATAAGAAAACTTGAATGTGAGATTTTATTACACGCGGCTGTGGTTTTTATCATTTAATGTATAGATGTAAAAATAGATCATTGTGTCACCTGATGAACATTTCTTAGCCTGAATTAATTTGTCACAGTCAAAGTTCTAAATTATAAAAAAAAAAAAAAAAAATTTGTCACAGTCACAGGTATTACAGTCAAACCTCTTTATACTGATATTCTTATACTGATAACTGCTTATACTGATGAAATTTCGTTTACCCAAACCAGTCCTATTATTTTGTACTGCTTATACTGATAAACTCTAATAGATCTCTTTATAAGCTATACCGATACAATCTTCGGAACGGTTTATTAGTGTTGATATGAAAATTTCTCTGATTATACTGATATTCTTGTGCAACACCAAAATTGACCAATCAACTTGTCTCAGTTATTATATATGTAGGATACACAAGTTGCCACGCAAATTTGTATTGATTGGTTTGTTTCTTGGCAAACAATCACTCGATTGTTTAGCTAAGAATCTGGCAGTTTTATTTACCAAGTTTGGTTAACAGAATTTCAGCTAGCCGTCAGGTAGAAAAGTCTTCGTTTAAAAGTGTAGAATGAATGATCATGGAGAAAGTCAAACATTGTGTTGACATTTCTTATCTAACTTAAGAAAGTTAAAGAGAATAAAACATCAGAATACGTTACATCAAACAAGTATTTTTTCGTTTTATCATTAATCAATAAAGCTTATACTGCCGTCGAAAATTTGTGCAAATATATATTCAGCTTAGTGTGCGAAATTTAGTAAAACGAAAATCTTTATATTGTCCCTGACTTTCGTCTTATCGAGTTTCACTTGTATTATGAAACGAAAAAATAAAGATAATATTAGATCAAAAACCATAAAAAAACAAAAAGGTTTGCTGACGGCAATTCAGAAGAAAGAGATATGCCTTGCATTAATGCAGAAACCACGACCTAAACAAGGCATCCTGGCGGAGCAGTATGGCGTCGCGCAAAATACGATTTCTGATATTTGGTGCAATAAAGATAAATGGCTTTCTATCAATGATGATGCACCTTTATCTAAGAAAAAGAAAATCCGACCCTTATCCTATCCCCAAATTGAATCTGCATTAGCTATCTGGCTTAATATGGCAGTTAACAATCATATTACTATCACTACTGACATTCTTAAGCAGAAAGCAAAGGATTTTGCTGTTCGCCTTGACATTGATCATTTTACAGGGTCAGCTGGCTGGATCTCAAGTTTTAAACATCGTTATAATGTACGGTCATACTTAAAATCTGGTGAAGGGGACAGTGCTCCTCAAGAAAGTCTCGAAGAAGAACGTGCGAAGTTGCATGACATAATAAGTAATTATGATCACTGAGACGTATTCAATTGTGATGAGACTGGTAAGTATTCATATTAATTTATTCCTACCAGCTATTATTTACAGATTCTATTGTGTAGCATTACATTGGCAATTGGAACCTGATCGAAGTTTAGCAACAAGACCATTAACGGGTACCAAGAAGTCGAAAAATCGTGTGACAATTCTGTTGATGTGTAATGCATCAGGAACCAAAAAACTTCCTCCGTTGTTTATTCACAAGCATAAAACCCCTCACCCACTTCGTGGAATTGATAAAAGCTCTCTAGCGGTTGAATATTATTGGAATTCCACAGCCTGGATGCAAACTAGCATCTTCAATGATTATCTCAAGAATCTTAATAGTTTAATGAGAAGACACAATCGTAACATCCTCCTTTTAGTCGATAATGCTCCGACACATGTGATTTCGGATTTTAAGAACCTAACAAATATTAAGCTTCATTATTTGCCACCTAATACGACTGCACACCTGCAGCCATGCGATGCAGGCATAATTCATTCTTTCAAGGTAATGTTGATTTAATTATTGTTATTAATATAGGATGTAAACTAATTCAATTTCTTTGTATTGTATTTAGGCACAATATCGACAATTGTTAGTGAGAAATAGAATTGATGCGTATGAACGGTCTGCCGAACTCCAAACAACCGTCCCATCGGTTAACATTTTGGATGCAATTAATTTCTGTGTTGAAGCATGGCAGTCAGTTAAGGAAGATACCATTAGAAATTGTTGGTGTAAAACTGGTATTCTACCAGATTCGGGGGGGGAACTGTTAGCAGAAATCGAATCAGATACCGAGAGTGTTCAACAGTTAATTGATAAACTAGGCTTTGAAGAACCAATGACGGCAGAAGAATATATTAACATTGATGATAGTGTAATAACTGGAGGAGGCCTGACAGATGAAGAAATTGTGGAAGTGGTATGCTCTCCTGATGAAGAACCTGATGAAGAACCTAATGAGGGAATAATAATTCGACCTACTGTATCAGTTAAAGAAGCATTAGGGGGTGTTAGTAGTGCGATGGAATTTCTGGTAAATCCTCCCGAGGATTTTGCTTCTGATGTTAGAATGATATTAGGATTGCGTAAAGTGCAGAGTCAATTGTGGGCTTATTATGTGTCAAAGAAGAAACAATCAACAATGG